TGGGGAGCTGCCGGCTGCCTGTGGCCCTGTGGCCCCAGGTGAGGCACCTGCTCGGCCTGGCCCTGCCCGGAAGCTGCTGCCCTGGAGCTTGGCCCGGGAGCCTCCGCTTGATGCCCTCAAAGAAGAGGTGCTGCGCTACAGCTTGGCTGATGAGGCATCCATGGATAGTGGTGTGCGCTGGCAGCGTGGGAAACTGGTGCTTCGTCGTGGACCTGGCCCAGCCAGAGGCCTAGAGCACATTTTGGAGCTGTTTGACCCGCCCAAGGTGAGCACTGCGCAAGGGGACCCCTGGGGAGGAACATTAACGTTTTCCGGTCTGTGCCCTCCAAGTGCCTGTAGGAAAGTAGGACATTTTAATTGAACCTTTTATTGTAGAATCTGTTGCAAAGAAAGTACAAGATTCAGTATTACTGTATGCTTTTGTCATAATTTAGGAACCTGCCCTGGCAAGTCACTGTTATGGAATTCCATGAATTTTGTAGCTTATCCAAGGAAGCTGGTTTTGAGTCACACAGGTGGTTGTCATGTGGGCTAGATCCAAAGTCCTTGAAAATCCTGAAGTTAGCTGATAGTGACAAATGGAAGTTTTATTTCCGGCGGGGGGGTGGTCAGAACTGTCAAATTCCTTTGTGTAGCTCATGCTTTGTCTGTCTTCAAGTTAATAGATTTTGTCACACTGGGCCTGGTGGTACAACCTGTAATCCCTGCACCCTGGGAGGCTGAAGCTGGAGGTTGCAAATTTGAGCTGGCCCTGGGCAGTTTAGCAAATAGTGAGACTGTATCAAAGTAAAAAAGGGCAGGGGATGTAGCTCAATGTGAAGGCCCTGTGTTGAACTCCCAGCACTGCTAGGGGCTGAGGAGCCCCTGTGAGTTTGATCCCTCATACCATACACAAAACACTTTTGTCCTTCTTGGCAGCCAGCCTGAAGCTGCAGATCATGCACTCTGCACACTGAGCTCCATCTTTGGGTCAGGTGTGTGGTCCTGTTATGTGCCAGGGCCTCGCTATAGGATGAGCGGAAGAGAGGCGAGCTCTCTGAGCACTGCTGGCGTGGGCTGGGTTGGGGGATCTGCATTCCAGGCAGGCAGTTGAAGGAGAAGCACAGGTGAGCCCTGACGGTCTGCGGGAAGGGAGCTGCGGGGGAGGCTTCTCCCAGTGCCCTTGCTTGCGGTGACCTTTTTAAACTTCAACACAATGTCATGTGCATCTGCTGAAGCTGTGACTGCTTTCCACGTGTGTACACCCATGTGACCCAGCATCCGAGGGCTCCCCATGCTCCCCATGCCAGCACCATACCCCACACATAACTCGACTGCTGTTGCACAGGTCAGATGTCTCTGAACACCATGCACATGGATCATACAGCCCGTCGCCTTTGTCTGGCTCTTTTAGTGTGTTAGAGATTCATATGTCCTTCCATGCATTGAAACAATCCTTGGTTTTGTTTTGTTTTGCACAGCTGGGGATAGAACCCAGAATTTTGCACATGCTAGGCAAGCATTCTGCCACTGAATTAAAATCTCCAGCCCGTTTTAGTTTTTTATTCTGAGCTAAGGCCCCAGTTGCCCAGGTTGACTTTGAACTTGGGATCTTGCCTCAGCCTCCTGTATAGCTGTGATGGCAGGTGTATGCCACTGTTCCTGGGTCTACTTTGGGACTTGGGTGAAGTTTATGTGTGGGTCTTTGTGGGAACACATGCTGTCATTTCTCCTGGTTGGATTCCTCAGGGTGGTGTTGCTAGATCATAGGGTAAACACGTGTTTAGTTTTTAAGAAGCCGCTATATATTTCACAAAGTGGACACCCCATTCTGTGTCCTTGGCAGCAGTAGCTCATAGTTCCCTGATTGCTCATTCTCAATAGAACTCTGGGTTGGTTGTGCACCAGTGTCTCTTCTAGTGGGGTGTGTGTGTGTCTGGCTCAGGGTTGTTTTAATTTGCACTCTGAGAAGTATCACTGTTTATTGGCTGTGGGAGTTCACTCTTTGGTGAAGCACCTGCGTTTCGATTCTTGCTGTCCTGTGTGAGAGGTTTTATACATTCTGGACGCTTGTTTAGCATGGAATGTCCTTTACCACCTCGTGGGCTGCCTTTGTAACCCCAGAGTCCTTGAGTCTAATGAAGTGTCTTTATCGGTTGCCTCCCTTTACAGGTGGTACCATTTGTGTCCTGCTTCCGATGTCTTTCCCTGAGCAGGGCCATGGTGACACTGTATGCTCTGGTCTGCTGGAGGCCTTGCTGTCTGGGCCTTCACACTTTGGACTGGGAGGCACCTGGGTCAGCTGTGTGTTCAGTATTAGGTGGTAGGTGCCATGGTCCTTCCTTTTCTGCCTGTGCCATCCCTGCTATGACCATCTTGGCCTGCTGGACTGTAGCATCACATCCATCCTGAGTCTGGGGTGCATCGGGGGCTGTACCTTGGGACAATGTTCAGTTCTGTTGGCCAAGGCAGCCGTCGGGCCAACATTCTGTCCTGTTGCCACCATTTTGCATGAGTCTCACAGGGTGACTTTTGGACTGAGGGACTGGATCCAGGCTGTGATAAGAAATGTTCAGCATGGTTTCCTTTTTTTTTTTTTTTTTTTTTTTTTTTTTTTT